TGTGCCCTGGTTTTTAACAGTCTGCTCCCTGAGGTTGGTACGCATGCTCTTGCATCACCACTGGGAATCTTACACCTACCCTGAAAGCCTCTCGCAAACCTCCATTGTCTGCAATGTTTTCTGCCAAAGTCCTCTTCCCTTTTACCTGGCAGAAAGGAAGAACATAATTCATTTGATCTGTTTCTAAACTGCATTTCAAGGCCAACCTATATATACAGATAGGAAAAAATCAAACAGGTTATATGCCAGATCCTCAGCTAGTGTAAATGAATAGCTCTGATGAAGACAATTGCTTTCCAATGTGAAAAATCAAACCTATACTCATACCATCTCTGTATTCTCCTGGGGCCAGTTACTCTGGCTCTAGGGTTAGATTCAAGTTTAGAACTCATGAAGCAGAAACAATGCATCTGAGAATCTGGTCTGTGAAATTTGATTTGAGTATCAATATTTTTTCCATCCGTGTGGGTGCTGCTCTAGTTAGATCTGGAAATTTGCAAAGTTTTCTTCTTATTTGACAAATTACATTTATTTCTCCACATAACTTTCTCTATCTACTACTGGAGTGACAGTAACTATCAAAGTATAACATAAAACAGTAGAATTAAAAGTAGATGTCAAGGAGAGAATTGAAAAGGGTAGTGTACAAAATGCTTTTTACAAATCTAGAAAGAAGGTTCAAGTTCTTTTTTCTAATATTGCTTCCAGCAACCATAAAAAAATCATGTTACAAAAATCGGTGTCATCGAAATACTGATAAACCCAATATCCTGATATTACAATATTTAATATCATTTGAAAGAACCTCTCGTTTTCTGTGGAGTAGAGCACTATCTATTATCACCAGACCTATAAGGGTTTTTGAGTTATCAGATTGTACTGGTTATTCATTAGTTTTTTCCTCCAACTTTTTATACTAAAATAGGCATGTTAAGAACCACAGGATCAAGTTTAGAATCAAATTAATTAAAATATGATTCCAAACCAACAGCTGATAACATGGTATGAAGCAACAGTTTGAAATTTAGGACAGGACAAATTATCAGTGGCACAATGGTCTAGTCAAAGGCCTTTGGAGAGAATGGGAGTCTTTCCATTGACTTCAATGGATTCTGGATCAGATCGCTAAAACTGCTGTGGCTAAAAGGGATGATGATAGTGATGGGAGAACAAGAGAATGTCTTAACTCCAGAGCTCTTTGGTGTTGGCAAAGTCTGAAACTATATCTATTTTCATATCTACTTCTTTCATTAAGCACCTTTTTGGAGACCTTTTCATTTCAAATTGAAAAAGGAGTTGGGGAGGAAAAGATACCTGATAAAAGTAAACTGATCCCATATTGATAAACTGCATAACATATCAGTGCTAAAGATGTAAAATATATAGGAAAGAAAGAGATCTTTGGATGTCCATCCTTTCAAACAGAAGCTCCAATAAAAGAGGAGAAAACATCAGATTTCCCTCCCCCTTCCCACAAAAAGGTGTTCAAAATTGTGGTGTATAGAAGACTGTGTTGGAATTGCAAACTTTCATCTTATGAGTGGGGGGAAAGAGTTTCCTGATCCTGCTTGGGGACTCTGTAGGGAAGTGTGTAATCTGGGAGCAGCAGTTAGTCAGGAAAACGCTAGCCTAGAACAAAGTTGGGAGAGTTGTGCCTCTGCCTTAGGGAGCAGCCTGCTTTGTCTCTCTGTGTGTGGGTTTGTGTGTATCATTCTGAATTCTAAGAAATAAAGTAGTTTTACATTCCAATGTTTCAAAAGGGGTAATTTAAATTTTTATCTGTGTGTGTGCACGCCCTGAAACATAACAAAAATGAACCTATCTTAAAGTGCAATATGATGCTTCACAGGAAAGGAAGAACTAAATATCTCCACCTCAGTGAAGTCCTGTAGATGACATGACTGTGCACTAGCAGCAGTTCCTACAACTTCACAGATGGGGAGGGTCCAAATCCTCCTAACCACAGTCAGGACCTCCAGAAAGCAAAAGACTGATGGATGGGCCAATAGCATCAGCATGGAACGAGTGGGTGAGTTCCAGCAGCTCCTCCACAACATCTTCTGTGTCTTAAGTGATACCTCTCTTGTGGTGATGATGGTGGCAGCAGAGGTGCTTAACAAACAGCTGGAGGTATTTTATTTGTAAATTGGCTGATATCCAGCACTGCAAACTTGAGCCATTGGATTGCTGATTGGTCAGTGGCACATCATCATTAGCACTCAGCTGATGAACAACTAACAATACCTTTAACAACTTATTGTGAGGAAGTGCAAGAGCAGGTGAGTTAATTCTGTTTTTGAAATGGGAGTAGAAATTGGGTTTTAAGGATATGGATTTAACTGTAAAAATGAGGTTAAAATCCTGGCCCCATAGAAGTCAACGGGAGTTCTGCAAATTATATCAGTGGGGCCAGAATTCCACACCCAGGGTCCCTATTTATGCTCCATTCAAGAAACTTAAGTTTAAACCCGCACATATTCCGAGGAGCCCATGCTTCTGATAGCTAATACACACATTTCATTTCTATTTCTATTTCTTTTTTCAACCCTGCAGTTGCTGTGAATGATTGTTTAGTATTTGATTCATTTGATCAGCAACATGTCCACATGTACATGGAAAAAACAGCAAGAGTTGAATGGGAAATAAGCTGTAGCTTGTGTCTCCACATTATAATGTTAATTTATTTTCTGATTTATTGGGTGGGGTTGCTAAATGGATCTAAAACCCATTATTAGTTTCTTCTTTTAAAAAAATGGTAGCTGCCACTAGCCAGTCCCAATCACTGTTCTGTGCTGACACCGCCATCAGAGGGCATTTAACACATACATCCCCGTTGGACTACTCCTGCTGCTTGGCTTCACCCACTCACACTGCCTCCACTGTTGACCTCACTATGAGAAGCACTTTAACCCTCTCAACAAAGAGTCTGTTGTTGTTGTAATTTGTTTTGGCTCATACTTGGACAAACAAGTTAAATTAAACAAATGTGCTCACTTCATGTATAGTACATGAACACAAAAACAGCTACATTCATCTCAAAGCATTTGTTATGAATAGCCCATTCACTTGTAGCATTCCAACAGGTTGGTAATCATGAAAAAATAAGTAAATTATCAGGGACTCCAGCCACTCGCATGTTACATACATTTAGGCTAGCTCTCTTCCAATAATAATTATTGTACTGGTTAATCATGCATTTTGTCTTCTCTTTGAATTTTTCTTCAGACTCAGTGGACCACCAGGGGTCTAAATTTCCATTCTTGTCATACTTACGACCTAAAAACCAAAAGACATTTTTGAGAAAAATATACTTTTTGCAGTATTTGTAGCATAGCATGGACACAAATACAAGAAGTGAGAGTAGTAAAATGGATGTATTGCTTCACATCAGTTTGTCCACACTTGCTTATTCTGCTTAATTCACTAGATTTTCTGATTCTTGTCCCTCAGCTAAAGGTAGTACTGCAGAAACCCAACTCCTGTGGTCACGCCATCCAGCGAATGGCGCTCAGTCAGTGAATCTCAAAAAGATGCAACATTAGACATACCATTCACTTAATAGGGAAAAGGAAGATTCAACCCAAGAGGGTATGTAGTTTTAGTCTTTGTAGTTTGCCTAACAGTGTGGCTGTGTACTTTGTTTTGCATATAATTATTCTGAGAGAGACTCAGGTTACATTCTCTGCTTTGGCTTCTTCCTCTAAAATGGCATTATTATACCGTGATAACACCTGTACATCACTCTGCAGCAGCCATCCTAGCCAATGGGGTTGCACATATGTGACTGAGAATATAGTCTAGAGATTCTTTTTCGAATGTTGATGCACAAGATGTAAATAACACAGCTTGACTCTCAGATCCCAGGATGAATGTATATAGCTGGAAATTGGAGAATAAGGGATTTCACAAGAGTAACTGAGGGCAGAATTTAACACTGCAGTGAGATCATAGTAGACAATTCTTGTAATGACCTGTGAGCTAGAATGGAATCCAGCACCCACTCCCCAAACTACCTTGACTGTGCAGTGTGAATAAGAGTAAAAGCAGAAAAACTTAGTTTGTAACTAAAGTATTCAAATATGACTCTGAGTATACACAAGGATATGACTTCTTGAGGAAGATTTTACATTTTTCAGAGAACAATTACTTTAACAGCGTAAAAACACCAAGGAGTCCTGTGGCACCTTAAAGACTTATTTGGGCATAAGCTCTGAAGAAGTGAGGTTTTTTACTCACAAAAGCTTATGCCCAAATAAGTCTTTAAGGTGCCACCGGACTCCTTGTTGTTTTTGTGGATACAGATTAACACGGCTACCTCCTGTTACTTTATACTTTACTCCTTATATTTTAACAGCATAAAAATCATAATTGTTCTGAATTATTCTTCATGCAGATTATTAGACTCCAGAACTCAGAAGGATCAAAGCAACTGAAATTAAGATGTTTAGAGACAAAAAGGGTGACACGATTAGTCATCAGTTTTTGACTAACAATGGCTTCTTCTTTTTTGCCACATCCTATATTTTTATTTTATATTTTTGTTTAAAATGGATTTAGCCACTGGATGAAATCCTGCCTCCACTGAAGTCAATGGCAAAGCTCCCATTTTTATCAGTGGGGCCTCTACTTCATCCAGTGTCTCAGTTCCCATTTTTATAACAAATTTTATCACACGAGTGAGGTCAATGACATAGCTCAGAATTGTACAATATTACAGAAATATGAACTTTCCAGTAAAATCTAATTGTGGTTATTTTTCATCCTCAGACCATATAATTGTGATTCTGCAAACAGGCACATCATTGCTATATTATAAAATGGATACTACACTTCCTGCTTTCTAGTTTACTTGTCTAAAGCCTCATGACAAAAAATGTCTACACCGCAATTAGACACCTTTGGCTGGCCCGTGCCAGCTGACTCGGGCTCTGGCTAAGGGGATGCTTAACTGTGGAGTAGACGTTTGGGCTTAGGCAGCAGCCTGAGCTCTGGGACCCTCCCACCTTGCAGCTTCCCAGAGCCCGGGCTCCAGCCCATGCCCAAATGTCTACACAGCAATTAAACAGCTCCTTAGCCTGAGCCCTGCGAGCCAGAGTCAGCTGGCACTGACCAGCCACTGTGTTTTAATTGCAGTGTGGATGTACCCAGAGAGAAATCAGCCAGTCAAACCACAGACCAGTCAGATCAATACCTTACAATACACTGCCATAAACTGTGTGTTATACGTTGCCATAATTTTCTACAGACTTCTATATCACATAACCAAATTGACAATGAGAAGATAAAGACATAAGTCTATTAATTGTTATATCTATTGCAGCAGTGGAAGGAACTAGAGATGGTCAGAAATTTTCTGATAGAACTATTTTCCATCAGGAAATGCCAATTTCACAAAAGCAAAACATTTTGCAGAAGCATGTCAATTTAAAGGAAAATGTGTTCCAAATGAAAAAATGTTGATAACATTCTGAATGGAACATTTTGATTTTCCACTTTTAAATTACTTTTTGCTTTTTAAAATTTTGTACTATGTAAATTAATTTTTTAAAGCAAAAATCAGAATGAAAAGGTTTTGATTTTTTCAAAATAAAATGTTTCAGTTAGCCCAAAACATCTTTGTTTCAGAATTTCATTTTATTGGATAGTCTCTATTATTTTTGGTTTTGTTCTGTTTCAGACCGGGGGAAAATACTCACTCACAAAAAATCCCTTTTGGCCCAACTTTAGAAGGAATCCATGCAAAACTAAACCATTCTTTTTACAATCTTATGGTCCTCTTGACGCATCTTATCATTCTTGGAAAAAATGTACACATAAAGCTACTCCAATGCATCTTTTTTTTCTATTCAACAAACCCAAAAGTAAGAACAATATAAATGTGGACAATTACTCACCATTATTATCAAATCCATGGGTAAACTCATGCCCAACAATTACTCCAATGGCACCATAACTTAAAGACCTATAACACAAAAGAGCAGTTTTGCCTCACGATATATACATGCGTAGGAACATCAAAGCGGATGAGATAGAGGATAGAACAAGTTTCCATTTCAGAAAAGATTTTTTTGTATCTAAAAACGACATCCACAAAGTTCCTCTCAAAGTTTCTGATAGTGAAAGGTGGAACATGAAAAATCTTGTTTATTAAAGAAGGGTAAAAATAAAACCTTAAAGGCATTGTTGTCATCTCTGAGGTGGCTAGATTGTCTATACAAATATCTTATGTCATCATCAGGCCTCAGAGGAAAAAAAAGAGGGGATTCCAACTGACTGCAGCATTTATTTTCTAACTGGGAACTGGGTAGTGTTAAGAGTAAAATTATTCTGATAATGTAGTTAAAGAAAAGCACAGATCAAAGATTAAAAGGGATTTGAGATGCCATGTCTAATCACTCTTCTCTGAGTATGTGATAGACAAGCTTGAAAATGCATGGCATTTAATGTGTGAAACATTAAACAGATTCCCATCGTTTTCAAAAGAGGTGTTATCCTATTTCCCTTCACCTGTGCAGAAATAAGAGATTATCTACAATCAGATCTACTGCACTGAAGAGCCAGAAAGGAGACAATAATTTCATGTTCCTGGCAGACAATAATTGACATCTTCCTGGTTTGTTTGTACAGTATATTTTTTGTTTTCAATTTTCTGATGTTGTTCTATGGTGAGGGGAAAAGACGTGTATGAAATTTTAATTCAGAAGAGGTATTCATGAAACACATCTTGTATTTGCTAAGTTATTCTTCTGGAACATTACATACGTCACACAGTACAGAAATGCCATACATCAAAGTAGTGTATATTAGTGTATTAATAACACATTGGATAGTAACAGGAAAAGGCAAAGGGTTTAAAGTAACATATTATTACTGGACATAATGAGCCATCACATACTAATTGCTCATCTCAGTCATGCCCAAAAAAGTGCTTATGATTTAATCCCCCCACCCATGACAATTCTTCCCTTTGTTGTTTTTATCCTGAAGGGTAATTTGTCTGTGATAAAATGTTTCCTACTGTGTTTTCTATCATCTCAAAGCTTCATTAAAGAGCTTTGGTTAAAGTTATACAGTTCAACAATAGAAATATCATCCCATTGCGTGACAAATTTGTAATTTTGTATAATGACAATTATCTGTACTGAATGCACAATATTAGGCTTGTTTTCCATATCTAAAGTCATAACGCCTTCTGCAGCCAGAGAAGTGTAAAAAAACAAAATGGCAAAAAAATCAGCTGCACTGGTATTAGCAGCATGAGGAACACTTCTGTAGAAAAGTTTCCAGTTGTCGCTAATGTTTATAGTATAGTAAAGGATTAAGATACTTTTCTCTAGGTTGAGAACCCTCTCTTACCTATCCTGGGAGCTCCTCAGGTGTTAAAATCAAATTTAAACCAAAATCAACTTTAGACAATGTAGGTAAATAACTAGTCATGTCACTCAGAAAAAATGGTCGTTATTTGATTTTTGATGGATAACGTTAGGAATGCTGCTATCCAAAAATCATTAAAATCAACCCAGTGAGTTTGTAATAAGATTATTGTCTTTTAACATTATCAGCAACATTTGTTTGTGAACATTCTACTATCAAAAAAAGTCCTTAATTACAAAACCTAATTCAAATAGTTTTCTGTCACTCTGTTTGCAATGCCACACACATTACAAACTCCTAACTAGGAATGATGGAGTTTAATAATCACATTTTATTTGATATACACATATGTAGCCTAATAATGTAGCTTCCAATTATGAGATAAGGTAGAGTTGATTTTAATTGAGGTTGTATTGGAGCTGGACCCTAATAGTGGTCAGTGAATAAATATTTGCAGGATACATTTTCTGCAAGTGCTGGTATTTATTACTTGATTTTTTTCTGATTCCAGCACTCATGTAGGTCTCTATTATATGGACTGACAAAAGATCTAGAATAAGCCAATCTGTTTGATATAGAACAGATTCATTTGTTTACTAAATGTCATTCTGATGAGTATGGGAGTGAAAACGACTTGTATAAGTTAGAGTAATGTTTAAAGAAGAGAAATATGTGAGGCATAATTGTTTGAAAGAACCAAAATTTCGGCACTTGGACAGGAGATCGGGATACCAAGAAATTATCTCAGAGAACAAAACTGGAATTGACCACACTGAAATAAGCATAGTATAAAAAGGAGTTAACTAGGAATAAAGGGGGTCCTGTCCAATTACTGCACCACAAGAAAGTCACTTGGCTCATAAGAATTAATCTTGAACATGAATTTATTTGTTCCTAAGTTTAATGCATATCTTTATATTTACTGCCAAAATTCCTATTTAGAGGGGCACTCATCCTAATTGAAATATAACAAATACAACGTATGTTTAAAGGTAAACAATGGAATTTATTAAGGACACTTGTCAGTAGTAATTGGTCTCATTTGATAGCAATATAGCTTACTGAAACTGTGGTCTCTTGTCCCTCCCCAAGTATGAAAATATTGAATTGCATGGGTGTAGGGACTTTTCACTAAGCATGATTAAAGGTGACCTGAAATCTTTCCCCCTATAGCAGCACATACTAACCAAGGTCCCAATGGAACTGCTCACCTGCTTAAAGTCAAGCATGTGCTAAAGTGTATTGCTGGATTCAAGCTCATGATCCTGAGAGATTAGGGTGACCAGACAGCAAGCATGAAAAATCGGGACAGGGGGTGGGGGGCAATAGGATCCTATATAAGAAAAAGAACCCCAATTTGGAACTGTCCCTATAAAATCGGGACATCTGGTCACCCTATGAGAGATATTTATCGCCTTGATGAGGCCTTAGGAGGGACATCAAGCACTTTGGCCCAGATCCACAAAGGTACTTAGGCGCCTAAGATGTCTGATTCCAGGAGAGGAGTTCCCAGCTGTAGATTAGAAGCAGAGCACATCCTGCAGCCCAGACTTAGGCACCTAACTCCAGGACTCCTAACTCCCTTCTCACCAGCATCTCCCACTGGCTAGTTTAGGGGGGCTCCCCACCTAACATGCTGACTTTTGTGGATCCCATTCCTAGGCATCTATCTTTCCCCATTCATTGTATAGGGAGCCTATGGGCCGAACTCAGGCTCTGTGAATTGCAGTGTGTTCCTGTGATTTTCTAGGCACCTAAAAGTTAGGCCTTGTAGTACTGAGCCTCATAACCCCATAAGTTCCTTTTGTGGATCCAAGCCTTTTGGACCCAATCCAAAACCCACTGAAGTCAATGGAAATGCTGTCATTCGCTTCAGCGGGGTTTGAAGCAGCCTCTTAGCTGGGGCGGGGCAGCATTCAGTGCAGATGGAATGGTTCTCTTTTAATAGACTTCATGCCCAGGCTGCTCTCTTCTGCTCACTCCAGAATCTAAACACCCTGCACACACACACAATTATTTACAAATTCCTCAAAGCAATCAATCCTCAGTTTAAAACAACACAGAGACATCCAGTTTCCCAAGGTAAAAACAGGCATCTCACAAAGCAGCAGCTTTTCAGTTCAACCTGGTTTTTCAATAGAAAAAGCAGCCTGCAGCAGAAGGATCTCTCCCATTGCCAGTTTCTTCATGCCATGATGATACACTTCTACTGTACACATTGGTTTGGGCTGCTGTATCAATACACTCTCTCACTTCGTGCTCCCTTTCATTTCACCCAAGAACTTACCTTTGCAACTCTGTTACTCCTCACTGCCTACTTACTATAGTTTTCCTTTCTTACTTACCTAGGGTATTCTGTCCCCCAAAAGAAAGGCTTTTGGAGTTCTCCTGCTGGGAATCCTGTAAGAGTCAAAATACAAAAGTTAGAAGCAAATTCAATCCCGCTGAACGATGAAGCCATGAGGGGGTTTTTAAAGAGGGTTCTGCAGGGCAGTTCTTCTCTTGAACAACTTCAAAACAGTGTGCTGATAATTAGCCTTCCAAACAGACCGTAGATCCTCCTTGTTCACAGTGCAGTGGCAACAGGATGTTGCACTATGACCTGAGACAGTTTGTTGTTGTTTGTTAGACATCTAGACAAGCAGAACTTTGCTTGTGCTTTCTCTCTGGGTTTCGGGCTACATAGATGGCTGGCTGCACTAGTCTTCCCGTGCAAAGGGACAGAGCCACTTCTCTGGCCTCTGAGCTCTTGACAATACATACAGAAGGGCAGGAGTAACAGACAAAATGCCAAAATAAAAATAAAAATTAAGAACTTGCTCCCCAGGCTACTGGAACCCGTGCAAGGTCCTTAAGCACGTTCCTATTTTTAACCATGTGAATAGTCCCATTAAAATCAGTGAGTTGTTTAAAGTAAGCCATATGTTTAACCAACTTGTTGAATCAGGATCACAGTATAAACAGATTATCAAGGCTTGATAGGAACATCCAACCATATCCAGTAAGTGCCTCAGTTAGAAGTTACTGGTAAAATAATCTGCAGTTGAAAGGTTATCAGTGCTGACACTCCAGTGAGTGATTTACCCAAGATCACACACAGACAGAAATAGGACCTAGAACTCACAAATCCCAGGCCCATTTCTAACCACTAAACTACATTTCATTACACATACAGAAGTCAAATCCCTGCTGCTGAAGTTCTCCCTTATCTGGGGTTAAACATAGCAACTGGTTAACAGCCGCTGCACCACTACACAAGATTGAGACTCTCTGGCCAAATTTTTCAAAATGGGGTGAAAAATCAAGCCACGTATGTGCTTAGATATAGAGTTAGGTGTATAGCTTGAGGAGCTCCCTTTTGAAAAGACTTGGCCTATATCTCCGTTTCTCTTTTTTTTAGAGTATCTTAAGCATATATAAAGTGGCTATGACAATGATGTGTCTCAGACTGTTCATTGCAATTTCTAACTTTTCCGCCATACTCTGATTGCCAAAGAATGTTACCGTCTCAAAACATAAAAACCACATGAACATTAAAATCAAAACAAAAAAAAGACTCTTAATAAGATTTTAGGTCTTTTATTATTTATAAACAGAGCGTGGAATTTTGCACAGCGAAGGTAAATGTGAGGCAACATTTCATTGTTATCCTCCCAGAGTCTTTTAAAAGAACATACTGAGTGTAATTCATGTCAAGTGATGCAGCAAGTGGTATGCCCTCCTGGCCTGCCCATCTGCTGCCTGCCTGCTCTTGCTCCCTTGCTGCCATAGCCACCTGTTTGCAATTGATTTATGAAAAGCAACTTTTTGTAAAACTTATTATCTGGGTTTTTATAGTTCTCTGGATGCTCTTTTGTTGTTCAGACCATGTTCAGCCTCTTTATTTTTGTGCTGTAAAAATATAAATTACTCTAGTTACCAAGGATTTCCTGATCTTGCATCAGAACTAGAAGAGTAAGCATTCATATTCACCATGTGTATTGTCAGACTTCTCATATTAATGGCATTCTCAAGTATCCTGATGAGATCTTTACTTTTAGATCTTTACTCTTAGTGGACAGACCACTGGACTGGGACTCAGGAGATGTGGGCTGTATTCCTGGCTCTGCCACTAGCCTACTGGGTGGATTTTGGCAAGTCACGTTACTTCCTGTGCCTCACTTTCCCCATCCATAAAATGAGGATAACGATACTGACCTCTTTTGTAAGGCATTTTGAGATCTAAAAATGAAAAGCCCTGTGTAAGTGTTAGGTATCATCATTAGAATAGGTCCCGCCTACGAAGCTTCTTCATAAATGAGTTTAGGCAGTGACAAATCACACACTCTGTTAGGATCTGATCCAAACCTTTTGAAGTCAATAGAAAACTGTCCAGACCAGACTGTGGAACCTTGCAATCTGGTCTCCTCCATGTTGTGGCATGCAGGTAGCCCACGCAGGGCTCCAAATCGTCCCTTTACTGTCTTGTATAGGTGCATTCATTGGCACATGAGCCCTCAGTGTTCAAGGGCCCAATTCTATAAATATTAATGTGGTGTGAGTAATGTTGCTCATATGAGTAGTTACACTGATTTAATAAGTCTATTTGTGTGAGTAAAGTAACTCACCGTGACCAAGTGAGATATGCATGTATCAAACTGTGACCTTGATTTTGTTTTGTGACTTCCATTCTTATATCCTGCGATCCATTTTAATGTGCTAACTGCCATTTTGTGTTGGAAAGCCAGCCTGACCCTGACAAGGCCAGTCCACACACTACCCCTCCAGGATAGGGTGTGGCACATCTCAGAGAGGACTACAGTGGGAGAGCCTTCAAGGGCCACCAACTCTGATTGATTCTCAGTGACTGGCCCAGCACAGGGGACAATGCTTTTCTTCATGGTGACTTGCATGACTTGGGATTAGAATTTCCCAGACTGGTCACAAGGCAAAACAGAATCAGAGACTATATGTAAGGGGTGGGCTACACCCCTTCTGCTTTCAGAAGAGAGCTGTCCACCATCACATGCCAGAAAACCAGGCTGGAGAGACAGTGAAAGAGGGTAGGAGAGATACTGCCTCATGTGAAATGCTGACCAACCCTCAGACTCACAGGAAGGATGAAATCAGTCATGGGGAGGGTGTGTCTAAGGATTGTTACTTATTTTGCAAAGAACTGTAACTCTCTAGTACTTTCTTAACTGTAAAAGTGGCTGTGGTTAAGAAATTCCTTTGATAAGCCTGTGTTCCTTGCCTGCCTGCTACGTTGTCCTTGACAAGGTTAACTGAGTTCAGAGCACCCACACAGTGAGACGGAATTCTGAAGGAACACGTATAAGCAACAGGAGGGCTCGGGAGAGTTGAGGCACTGATTAGGAGGTCTAAGGCAGCTTAGCTGTGAAACTCCACATCTCAAAGATGGTGCACAGAAACCTGGGCCTGCACCTGGGAATGTGCTTAGAGACCCAGATCTACGAACAACAATGCGGCTCTGCCTGACCTGACCACACAAGGAGGCGAACAAGAAGAGTGGTCATTTCACCCCATACATCCTGTGAGTTCACAGAACAAACAGACTAAACTGTGGAAGGCAGACTAACTGGCCCATACTGTGCATAAGTGCAAACCTTAATTTAAAAAGTAGGTGCAAATTCAGCTCACAGGGAGAGAGGAAAGAGGATATAATGGGAAAGGCACTGGACTCAATCGACTTTCAGTTCCCAGCTCTGACAAAGATTTCCCATTTGATTTTGAGAAAGAACCTTAATCTCTCTCCCCACCTGTAAAACAGGAATATTACTACTTCCCTCTCTCATAGAGATGTTGTGAAAATGGGGATAATACTACTTTCCTCTCTCATAGGGGTTTTGTGAGGGTAAGTGCATTAATGGTTATGAGGGCTCAGACAGCACAGTGAAGTGGGCCACTTAAGGACCTAGGAAAAAGGAAAAGAATGATTTTACAAAAAATATTTACATATTTTTCTTAAGGAAAGGGAATATCTAGGATTCCCCAGAAACAAGAAACATACAAGGAAAAAATTCTTCTATTTTGGGCATTTGTAGATAAGAACATCAAGGAAGGGGGGGGAGGAGAAATGCTCATTGTCTTGCCTGTGAATGTAGTTTAAAATGAAAGTGACCGCTGGTCATTAGGAAAATGGGAACAACTTGAATCTCTTAATTAAGAACACTGCTCAAAAATGTTAATTCCAAAACTGCTCTGCTCATTAGCCTTCAGAAAGCCAATGGACTATTTTGAAACTGCTCCTTCGTCAGTAAACTTCTGATTAACCCAGTCCTTCAGAAAAAGAACAGAGCTCCTCTCTGAGACCATGAATGCAGCACACTGTGTTTGTTGCATTTCCTTAGCCACCAGATACCACAGAGCTTTCCTCTGCTGCACACCACCAAGCACATACATCTTGCAAGATGCTTAGCAGGAGATATAAGGTCTCATCTGGCATTTTCAAAGGGTTCTTCCTCTAAAATGTAATGAGGCAGCTCTCGGCATCTTGACTGACACCATAAATCTGGGGAACTGACATATCATAATAAGTGAATAAAAAAGACACTTGTATCTACATATGTTTATACCTATCCAGTGGGGCTCAATATCTGATACATCTATATATGTTCTTATTTAATGAGCATATGATTCAGTTTAGGCCTAAATTTAGCTTCATCCCATGCAAATCCACTGTCTATAATCATAATTAGCTGATCAAAAGTGCTCAAGTTTTGAAACATAATAGAAAATATTATATATTTATACATATTAAGGAAATTAAGCCTGCCAAATGTCAAGCTTCCTGTTCTCTTTTTTGTTGGAGCATTCCATTTTTTGTCTTTTAAAGGCCAGAGAGTTATGCTGCATTTTGAGTGCTATAATGATGCCCAACTCTCCTCAGTAGAAGTACAGTAGTAAACGCTTGCCATAAGTCTTTCTGTTATGACTTTTTTTTTTTTAACACTGATTGATTTACTTCGGTACCTAATTCAATAAGGACCTGATTTAAAGCCCATTGAAGTCAATAGGAGTCTTTCCAGTAACTTCAATAGATTTTAGATCAGGATCTAAAAGCCCATTATGGAAAAAGATAAGCCAGTCAATGCACTGTACCAATGGTTGCAATTAAAACCATGACATTTGCAGTATTCCCTATACTACATACAGGGAGTACTCAAAGACCATGGTATATGGATCTGTTTATAAAGGCAATGACTTACAACTGCTTCCTTAAATAAAAACTACCCAAAATCGGTGGGTTACATTGCTCAGTAAATACTCAAAAATATGAGGTCAAATGTTAAGAAACTAATTTCAACTTTTCAAAAAAATTGGGCTGCATTGGTTAATTTAATACACCTCAATTAAGTTAATAAGTGAATTATTTAAGGAAAGAGGAACCAAGCAGAATGAACTGATAAAAGAATTCTTTGATGTAACTTTAATAACAGTGTGTATACTGCCTATAACTGACAACCTGTATAGCCCGAACATTGTTGCATTCCTTTACCTCATATATCTGATTACCTCTCTTTTGAGAAAACAACTTGCACTGTCAACAGGTCTGTTTTATCTAAAAGAAAGAATTAGAAACTAGAAAAATGGTTTCTGGGTTCTATATACTGTATATTAGTGAAATAAAAACAATGTGAGCAGGGCAATAGGAATCTACTTGTACATAAGCTCAACCAAGCTGATAGCATTGCCATCTTCATGCAAATTTTGCTGTATTCTCCGCAATTTATTCATTCATTTTTTTAATCATCGTGTTTTTGCTTTCTACTAAGAAAGATCTCATGAGTCAGTAGGTGGCATTCTTCCTTATGAGTCAGTACTCAATACAAGATGAAATTAAATAATCAAGATGAAATTAAAAACACTCAATTTGCCTTTTTGGAGTTTGCAGTGCTTCCTTGAACATGCAGTGGTAGTTAATGAAAAGTGTTTATATCGGTGAAATTGCAGCCATAGAAGCCATTTTGGCTCATTCTCTCAGGCACTTGGGCCTGTAAGGGATAGGCAATATGAGAAACGGACTTGACAAAGGCCCTGGATGGAATAGTAGGCCACCAGTATTCCACGCACTAATGCAGAGCTGGGCATGAAGGAATGAGATGGGCATAAGAAAGGGGATATATTGCAATAGTTGTCAGTAGCCACCAAAAGACTATGCTCACTTCTTTCTATGTTTATGAATTGTCCATAAAACATTTAGGCTTATTTAGAATGTATTCACTACTCAGAATTCATTGTTCAAAACAAAACAGTCCTTTGTCTCTATATTGTTTGCAAGCAGCTTGCTGTGAGTATTTGAAATTCAAGTTGTACTGGTTATTTTGATTAACTCCCATTAGCTTTTAGAATTAGGTTTCTGCTCTAAATCTTATCACTTACTAATATAAAACTTGCTTTTCATAAACAATCTCCCTCATTCACTTAAAATTCACTATTTCTACAAATATTTCTGTCACACACTAAAAGCGAACATAAACATAGTAGAATCTAGTTTGCTTAAAGAGGTGACTCCATATCCACAGTTTGTGTAGTATTTTCCCCAGCTCCTAGGATATTCAGCATGAATGGTTACTAAAAACGTGACTCAGAGTGGTAAGATGTAGCTCTCATGAGTGAAGTTTTCTGAGAGAGTGAGTACAGCCCTCTTGAATGAACTTATTTTCGATACTTTCAGGAATTCCATCCCAGATAATGGTGGAGCTCTTTCCTGGAATTAATCAACTTTTAAAGGAGGTTTGATAGTAGCCTCCAGTGTTCAACAAATCCCTCTGACTTTCAACAAGGGCTAGTTCATTGTAAATTTCTTATCTAAAGAATGGTGGACCACCAGTTATATTGTATCCCTCTCCCTAGCTCACACAGTTTACAGTGAAAGGTTCCATTTATGACCCCTGCCATGCAGAGGTAAATACCATAACGGACTCTCTCTCTCTCAACCAGATCAGCTCAGACCATGTACATTCTTTTGCACCTGAGAACAGCCTTAAAGACAGTGAGCAGCACTATCTAAAACCCAAGGTCAAATGCAAGCGGTACAAGAAGGTCAGCAGTCATGATATAAAATACAATTGCTTCTACACCCATGACTGATTGGTTACATTTGACAGCTCTCTGTTTCGTGATACCGTTAGACACAGGGAGTGTGAAATTCAGCATCAGTAACTCCAGCCTCTCATTATAGCTTTCTTTAATGTGCTATGTCAGAGTAGCTGAGAGAGCTGAATGATACGGTAAGTTTGAAAGGACTCAATAATAAAGTATATGTAACAGCAACAGATTTTATTCTGTGCTTGCTAAACTTCAACCTTAGCTATACTGTAAATCTGAAAACCGGGGAAGTTTGTTCTTCATTTAACAGGAAAAGGCAGTTATTTTTCATGTCCTTTAGATAGCTATCACAGAATTGATTAGTGATCTTAAATGACCACTCAAAAATCGGTTGCTTAATAGAGGTGACCTTTCAGTAAAAGTGGAACAGAATATGCCGAGGGCTATTTTTAGGAGGAGAGCCTAATTATTGCACCCATTTTACAAATGAGTACACTGAGCCACAGAGAAGTTAAGTGACTTGTGCAGGGGCACAAGTTAGTTGCAGAAATAGCTGAGCATACAATCCAGGCGACATAAGTGCTAATTCCCTACTTTACCCACTAGACAGGAGTTCCTGTCTACCTTCAGTCTGGCATATCCATTCCATTAGTTTCAGGAATTACTTCATAGTGTGATAAAAAGAGATTTAAGAAAATGGTGGGGGAGCCAACCAGAGAACTCCGACAAGCCTGTGGTAAGGGACCCCCAAGCAGAGAGGTTATGCCAGAGAGCTATGCAGAGCCTGAAGCCACAGAAAAAGAAAGGATGATGCTGCCAGTAACTCTCACAGCTGGGAGGTGGAAGAGAGGTATCAAGATAAAGGTAACACTACCATCCCTCCAGCCTTAAGAAATTTGGATGCAAAATTCCCATTAAAACAAACTGGAATTGGGCATCCAGATCCTCTAAACAGCTTTGAAAATCTCAGCCATATTATTTCAGGAACCCTGGAACCAAAGTGTGATGAAGATAAGCTATCTGGCCAGAATATTTTAAAAACAAGGGAACCAGTAATCCAAGATTAGGTTAAAAGGTGTTGTGCTGTAATTACAAGATGAGATCAGACAAATCAGACAAGAATGTAAAGCCAAATGCAGCATGCTATAATACCCATTCATGCCCATTGACTTCAATGGACTTGCACAAATGTGATGGAGATCAGGATTTAGCCCTTACTATCTGAACCACTTTCCTTGGTACACATTCACTGGTACAAAAATGCTGTATTAGTGCATGATTATGGAAGGAATTTAGGTTTGCATTTTCAGTGGTGTACACTAACTTAAAAGGTTTAAATGTTGGGGTGGCTGATGTGACTCATGTCAGGGCCTGATTTTCAGGTCCCAACCACCTGTAGCTCCTGCTGGTATCAGCTGAAAAGGTCTGCCTTCATACATATCCTTTTCCGAACAAATAATTAAAGAAGAAAAAGAAGTCGGGTACTCACTGATCTGGTTGGTTGATGCACTATAGAAAGCGTTGACAGTGGTTGGACTAGTAAACCACCTGTAAAAATAGCAATAAACAGCAACAAAATATTGGTTGTCAGTGTGTTGGGCTTGTGAATGGAATAATCAAAGATAAAAGGCTAATTCAGCTAAATGAAACCAAGAGATTAAAAGCCATTATATACATTACAAATATAATTATTTCTGCAATTTTGTCAATGGCTATCTGTGATTTTTGGATCATTTAAATCTATTATCTACTGACATTATTTTAAATGACTATAATCAAATAGTGCTTAACAGAGCAGTCACTGGAGGGTACACTTGCTAACACTTATTCTATTTTTGTGTTCTTTTTTAAGTGATTTTAGTGCTTATGAAAGATGCCAAATTGACAGCCGTGGACAATGAAGTCCTCTATTTAAAATGAACAGGTGCCACACAGACCCACACAGACAGCAGCAGTACAAAGTCCTTTGCACTGTGGGCACGTCTTCACTACCCGCTGATCCGGCGGGTAGCAATCGGTCTATCGGGGATCGACTTACCACGTCTAGTGAAGACGTGATAAAATCGATCCCTGATGGCTCTACCGTTGACTCCGGAAATCCACCGCGGCAAGAGGCGGTAGCAGAGTAGACGGCAGCGCGGCAGCGGTCGACTTGCCGCCGTCCTCACAGCCAGGTAAGTCGACCTAAAATACGCCACTTCAGCTACGCTATTCACGTAGCTGAAGTGGCGTATCTTAGGTCGACCCCCCGCTGTAGTGTAGACCTAGCCTCAGCAATGTACTTCAACCCACTCATGGAGAAACTACCTATAGAAATTAGAGTTTACTTAGAAATGAGTAATCAAGACTTTTCAGTCCATGGCCTCTCTCCTGCAACCCCTGACAAAGTGACTACTCATGCCTATTAGGATGATTTCAATTATGTGGATGTATCTCTAATAAGAACAAAGGAAAGAAAATTCTGTAGGCCACTCAGCAACTACTGCTAATTATTTTATCACTAGTAAAGATTGCAATAGCTTTCAGCAACTATTAACCAATGGCCTAGAAGTGAAATATTCTGTACTGTGGGCTAAGGGACAATGCAAAGGATGAGGTTACAGGAACTCCTGAAATTCAAATCCAGCTTTTCCACTGATTCATTGAATGGTCTGGACTAGCAATTTAACCTTTTAGTTTCCCCAACTGTAAAATGAGTAATATATTTATTTACCTACCTTAGAGCCTGATCCAACCAACACGCACATGAGTAACATTACTCAAATAGTTAGTCTTATTGCTTCCAATGGCACTACTCACTTGAGTAAAGTTACTTGTGTGTCAGTGTGAGCAGGATTGGGCCTTTACACAGGTAGGTTAGTTAATACTGGAAGATGTAATATGCTAAGCATTATCCCCTTCTGCCCCACAACTCAGTGATCTTCTCACCCTCTAATGTCATTTATTAACAAAAGAGTGAGTGAGTAACAAAAGTGAGGTTCATCGTGGTTACAAATATTGCACTGGTCTGCAAACAATGTACAAAAGAATTATTTTCAATTGGTCATGTGCTTTCCTTGCTGCTCTTTGTGGTCTAAACCATAAATGCAATGGAGAAACCAGAATATTGGAGCTTTTCCACTAATATTGTAACAGAACCTGCACTGGCAAGATTTGAAGGATTTAATATTAACCCTGGCTGAACTTTTACTGCAGTAAGATATGGATTAACACTGCACCTATTGAAGTTAATAGCAAAATTCACATAGACTTTACTGGGAGTATAGTCAGACCCTCCCTACTGCCCCATTCTGCCTCTACTGCAGCCAATGAGAATTTTGCCATTGACTTCAATGGGGCCAGGATTTCACCCTAGGCTTTTTATAATGAAAAAATGAAAATAAAATTAAATATAAAAACAATGAGAATTAGTGGGTAATCTGTGATAAATTAGGCCCAGGTGTAATAAATGTCTGTACATCTGAAGGGAAAAATTCTTGAGTTATCACATGAGATGCTAGAATTTCTTCAGTATGTTAGATCAAAACTTTAGAAAGTCTCATTAAAAGTCAATAGGACTAAGGCTCCCTTAGTGCCTAATTCACTTTTGAAAATGTGGCTTTTCCATCTAAGTTATTTAAGCCTTGCAGTTCTGAATGGAGTGATGCCTAAATACCTTTTAAAAATCTAGGCCTTACCATCTCTGTGCCTCACTGCCCCATCTGTACAATGGGGACAATAGCACTTTCCAACCTCATAGGAGTGTATGAGGATAACCCAATCTTTAATGGAGAGGTGCTAATATGGTAATGGCAGGCCATATAAAATCATATGAGAGAGAGAGAGAGATTGATTAAAATCCCATGTAACAGGATACATGCACAATAGAGATTAAAACATTTTAAATGATTTTAAATGGGTGAACAAACTGGTATAGAAAACCAGTTAGTTCTGATTTTACTTACCTGCAAAGAACAGAGTTCAGGGTTTCTCTTACTACAATTAATGACTTCACTATTATTGAAAACAGTATAAGGAATGTTATTTTCAAAGCGTTAGTGATGCCATTCAATGCAGCTATTAAAACGTTCAACTCTGAATTTAGGTCTTAGTAGGCAAAAACCCTCTCAAGTTAAAAACAACAAATATTGAAAGATAAATGTTGAGGAATCCCTTCTGAATTACTCTGCTTTAAAATATTTTCATTCCCCTTTAGAAAGGTGAAATCTGAAAGTGAAATTTAGAAAGATTTATTGGGGTGCAGCATGGACACCGGACCCTGAAGTCCTTACTTGGGTAAAACTCTCACTGAAGTCAGAATTTGCACTAATGTGACTACTGATGGTGGGTACCCTGAGAAAAAGTTCAGTGGTTCCCTTTTGCCTGAATGCTCTTCCAAACCTTAACCATACAGTAAGTGCCTTGGCGCTTTTAAAACCAAGCTACACAGCCTCAGAGACCACCTCCTTAATTTCCAACTGTCTGGTCCCTTCCCTGAGACCACCAAACACAACCCTTTCCCAGCACCCCACAGCCTTCCTAACCTATGTTTCATCACGTGCAAGTGAGACACTTGTGAGCTCACGAATACAATACACTCCAAGAACCAGCTAAAAGAGACGATCTAAAGCCGTGGTTTTCAACCTTTTCAGGCTCAGGAGCCATTTGTAAATGTTAATGGCCTGGTATGACCCAGTATATATGCTGGGGAGGGGGTGTTGGGTCCTGCCCCGAGTGGGTTATGGCCTGTCACAACCCAGTAAATAGGCAGTGGGTGGGAGGAGGGGCAATCAGGTCCTGCCCCATGGGTAAGTAGGAGGCCATGGGAGAGGGGATCGGGTTCTGCCACCACTGAGGAGTGGGAGGGGAAGGCCTGTGGCAGAGCCCACCCCACACTCACCTCGCAGCAGTTACTCCTGCGGCTCTAGTCCCACAGGGCTGGCTGGGCCTGTCTCCTCACTCCAGGCATTGCCACCTCCAGGCTCAGAGTGCCCTGACAGGGTCCATCTGGGCCAAATTTCTGGAAGTGGCATTGCCACCTGCTGCTAGGGTTACCACCTTTGAAATGCAAAATAAGAAGCACCCACCATCACAGAAGGCAAGCCCGCCAGAACCTCAACCACCAACCACAAGGCAACTCTGTAACTCCCCCTCCTTCAACAGCCACTTATAGTATGTGGAGAGAGAACACATATAGGTAAGATTGATAACATTTTCTTACGTCAACTGCAGAAGTGGGAACACTGCAGCATCTTTAGCTGGACACAAAAACTTTTAACATTAGATATCCCAGTGTATTGTGATAATAATGCAAATCTTTAGACCCACGTAAAAAAAAATGGCAGATTAAATTATTTTTTTGGCAACTGGCAAATCCATTAAAAAACGGCCAGGCCGGTCAAATACTAGGCAGGTGGTCACCAGACATGTCAAACCCGCCAAAAAAATGCAGAAATTGGGCTTGTTTTTGGCTTAATTGGCATGTGAGTTGCTTGTTGGCTAGTTTTTGGCTTGTAGTTTGTTGCTTTTAGCTTCTTTTTTTTTTTTATTGGCTCCCGGCAAGCAGGGGCAAGGTGGGGAGAGACTCAGGGGTGCACAGCGGGCCCACCACAGTCCCAGACTGCACGCCGGGGGGATCTAGTCACATAGAGTGTTGGGGTTCTTAGGGATTGGTTTGTTTTGGCCTTGTTTTGAAATGGGATTAGCTTGATTTTTGGCTTATTGTGAAAGTCGAGGTGCTTATTTACCGTGTGAAAGTTGGCAACTGTGGTGGTAACCCTACCTGATGCAGCAGCACTCACTGTAATTTCACCTGGCCCCCCATCATCATGGCAGAGGAACAGCTGGGCCAAACCTGAGGAGTGCTGCAACCCTACAGGTCACAATGCCTGGAGCTGAGCTCAGCCAGCCCCATGGGAGCCACCTCATGACCCTTTGAAACAATCTGACAACCCACTTTTGGGTCACAACCCACGGATTGAGAAACCCTGGTCTAAAGTACTGAGACACTGGAAGCAAGCAGCCACTTCTGGCCCAGCAGAGACTCTGGCAAAGCTACTAAGCCCCATAAATTTTCAAATGTAGGTAGGGGGATAGGGTGAAAAGAGGCTGAGGGACTGGGTTGGGATCAAAGAAACATCTGCACTGGGAGTGGAGTCAAGCAACTGGACTGAGTGGGAGCAGCAGAACAAAGGCACGTGGGGAAGAAGTAGGAAAGAAAGAGCAGGGTAGAAGGCGAGCTAATCAGAGCCTGGAAAATGTCTGATTTCAGTGACATTAATGTAAAATAAGCAACCGAATTAGTTATCTGTGGAGTTATAGTCGTAATGTGCTTTTGTTGGCAATTGCAATTCTTAGTTAAATTGTGCAATAAAGGATAGAATCTTAAAATGGCAGTGTACATTCCTTAATCAATACATTAATCAGCCTCCCTCTCTCATTTTATTTTCAGCGTTGTGCTGCCTCTTTTACAACGCAGGAACCAGAGAATTAATCAATTGAAACATCAAAGAATGATGTCATAGGCATGTCTTAAATATCCATCATTTTATGGACTCTAATTGCCAAGG